TCTCTCTCTCTCTCTCTCTCTCTCTCTCTCTCTCTCTCTCACACACACACACACACACACACACACACACCAACTCTCCCCACCTGTTGAAAGGTCGTGGGGTTTCTTTGCTTAACCATGTAGTATCCTAATCAAATCGCTTTCTTTTTCCTTGGGGACATTCCCCTTAAGACTAGTGGGTTGGTTACTCAGCCTGCTGACCTGGATCCATGCTTTTCCTTTTGCTTTTTTTAAAATTACAAGGCTAATAATAATAATAATAACAATAATAATAATAATACCCCTGCATCGAGAAAGAAGGGGGGGAAAGGAAAGCGAAAGGAATAGAGGAATTGTGTTACCTGCCAGTCCCCCATTTTTGCAAGGAGTGACATTTTGGCTCCGGGCTGCCTATCACCAGGTCCCCGCTGGTCATGGAATGAGTGATCCGCCCGCTTGCCTCTCCTGCGATCTCTTTAGGCAAAGACTTCTTTTACCTGCCAGAGGAAACTGCTCACCTGGTCATAAAGGCGCTTACCTGCCCGCGCCTGCGCATTGACTCAGGAATGCACTCGGCCAGCTCCCTTCGGGGAGCTCACAAACTGTCTCTGCGGATGATGGATTTACACCGCCACGAGCAGCCTCCGGAGTTGGCGCGCCTCGCCTGTCTCCTCCCCAAGGCCCCGGTTTCTCTTGGGAGTCGGCCCGGCTTTCCTAGCGGGGACCAGAGGACAAGCGAGCCAGAGCAACTGCCAGGATGAATCCTGGTCCTCGGCCCTCTTCTTCTGTGTTCAAGCTTTGTGGCAGGGTAGAAGGGACGGTAAGCGCAGGGCGCGCATCTCCAGGGATGCCAAATGAGCGCATAGGGCCGGGCACTGTGGGTCTGGCGCTCCTCTGCATCGCCAAGCGATTTTGGGGGGTGCGGGTGACAGAAGAGAAGTGACGACCGAGCAAGGAGGAAGCTACATAAACTGGGCTTCGCTCTTCTGCCGCTCGCAAACCAGCCCTGAGCCGGAGCTGCCGGAGAACTGAGGCGCTCCGGCACGGAAAGTGTCCCAGAAAGCCGCGGCGCCTTCAAGTCCCGTTGGTTCACCGGCGAGCCACCTTCTTCCTCGGCTTGGGCGACAACGCAGACCTCCGGCCAGGGGGACTGGCTAATCGGAGTGCGGGTCCCTCCTGGTTAGAGTAGCGGTGGCTGGAACGGGGCCTCGCCTGGTCTTTTGTCCGAACTCAGCCAGGTGAATCCTTCAGCCAGGTCGAGTCGCCGCGGACCTCCATTGACATCCGCGGGGGACGCTGGGCAACGAAGTGGCCGATTGAACCGCTTCCGCGGACCGAGCTTCGAGGGGGCTTTGCGTTCAAATAAAGGGGGGGGGGGTTGGTTTTAGCGGCGTCAGTGCAGCTCGGAAGCAATGGAACTTTTTTTTTTCTTTTTAAACTAAGATTTGGAGGGAGAAGTTGGCTAGAAGTTGTGAATCCGGATTTTTCTGCAGCAAGAGTTGCAATCCTGGATCATGAGCGAAGCGGCATTGGAATGGGCCCGCGGGGTTAAATTCTAGCGTTTCAGCTTCGCTTGACTTGTGGGGTCACTTCGCAGGGTGAGGTGGATGGGCTTGGTGGTGGGCGTTTTCCACTGGGAAAGGCTGGAACGGGAAGGGGGACGTGTAATGGAGAGTTAATAAAAAACACAATTGGGAGAAGAAAGCGGGGCTTTGCTTAAGAAGCCTTTGATCCCGGCTTCCTTTAACTTCTGCGCTGGTTGCCGGTTCGAACGTGTTAGCTTACAACTGCTCTTGGCTACGGTAGACGGAGGAAGGGATTGTAATCCAACAGGTTGAGAGATGACTCACTTAAGCCGTTTTGAGACTCGCGATCAAGCGCTTTAGAGTTCATCCAACAATTGCTTGTAGGGATGTAGCGGTAATGAAGAGAGACTTGGCACCACCGCAGCCACGACTAAGTGACATTACAGCACTCCATCCATTACTTGTGTCCGCTGTGTTATCGCCGCCTGCAATATGGGTGACTTTTCAGCAGATTGGGTCACGGAGAGGAGGTGCTAACTTTTTTTTTTTTAAGCGGGCTATCTTATTCTGGGTGATTGGTTTCCCAAGGACGCGAAGGCCACGTTTTTTAAATTGGGGGATGCGGTCCCTTTAAGAAAGAGAAGAAAACTAGGCTTAGACAAGTTTGGCTGGGATTGTGCATAAAGCATTTCTGAAACGCCAGGCTTCTGCCAGGAGTTGTTTGGCTCCCTCGCTTGGTTACCGGCTCAGATGTGCATCGCTCAGCCAGTCTGGCTTTGGGAAGAGAGAGAGGCTCCTTCCCTTGTTTCGCCTTTGCATTTCTCCGGGAATATGCAAACGGGGAGGACGAGGGAGGGCAAAACTGCAGGGAAAGGGAGAAAGGAAGAGCGTGAAAGAGAGAGAGGGAGGGAGGAAGGAAGGAAGGAAGGAAGGAAAGAAAGGAAAAAGAGAGAGAAAGAAAGAAAGAAGGAAAGAAAGAAAAAAGAAAGAAAGAAAAAAGAAAGAAAGAAAGAAGGAAGGAAAGAAAGAAAGAAAAAAGGAAGGAAAGAAAGAAAGAAAGAAAGAAAAAAGAAAGAAGGAAAGAAAGAAGGAAAGAAAGAAAAAAGGAAAAAAGGAAAGAAAGAAAGAAGGAAAGAAAGAAAAAAGGAAGGAAGGAAGGAAAGAAAGAAGGAAAGAAAGAAAAAAGAAAGAAGGAAAGAAAGAAAGAAGGAAAGAAAGAAAAAAGGAAGGAAGGAAGGAAAGAAAGAAGGAAAGAAAGAA